CGGTGACGGAAGGTCTCCGCCACCGCTGTCGACTCCCCCACGGGCGGTTCAGCGGACATTAAGCCAGGGCGCAGGCCCGTCACGCGCTTGCACGAACTCTCCACTCCATACCCAGCAGTGGAGCCCGTAAAGACGCCACAAGTGACCCCGTCCTGAGAAGGGGTCAAATCCCAGTGCATCGTCCGAGGAATGGCGAGGGACCGCAGCTCGACGATCGAAAACCCTCTCGACATGCTGGGGAGGTAATAATGAACCCCCTCTACCGTGCGGAACCACCGGCTCTCTTTGAGCAACAGGGCGGAGGGGTCGGCCATAGCGTCGCCGAACAAAAATTGAGGCTTCGGCAGCTCTGCCCTGTCCTCATCTGTCAGCGCCGCGTTGGTCGTCAACTCGCGTAATGTCAAGTGATGACCATCCGTGACTCTCTGTACCAGACCATGCGGCTTATCAGCGGTGAATACGGGCATTGGAGCCAGAGAAGGAAATCGAGAGGGCGCCGTATAATTCGTAGCCCCGGCGTGGCCAACCGCCACACCCTCCGGGAGAGCCTCATCGGAGAAGGTCGCTGCAACAAGAAATAAAAAGTCAATTGAGACAAAATCCGCTGTAGGGGCGAAATCGCCCATCGAACAGAAATCGCCTATCGAAAGGGGGAACCCATTTCGAACGAGGTCTATCCGTACAGCCTGCACTCCCCTCTAATGGGAAAGGGCCGAACTCGCCTTACGAAAAGGGAGTTCGCCTCCTCCCCACTGAAGGATTCGCCTGCAGGGACGGTACCCATCCTCTAAAGGCAAAATAGGGCAAACTTTGCCCCAAATCGGGGAAATGAGTAACACTCATCTTCCTAAAATCCGACGCCTAAGACTTACAAGAGATCATCTAACGAACCCATCAACGTACCTGGGCGCGATTCCAGAGCACCGGCAGGCATGCCGGCGGAGAGACGGTCGGAATAACGTCCGGGGCCCGCACCCCTCACTTTGCACCTCTTAGATTTTGGAGCCATTGTAGGATGAAGCGGGAATTCTTTCCTGGGATGTTCCTTTCAAGATTTGAGAGCACGGTAACTCCCAATGGAGGAAAATGGCTGATTTAGAAGGGCTGAGTTATCCATGTGGCCACGACTGCCCTCGAAAAGCGAAAACCCTAACGGACAGAGGACGTGGCCACGATCAAGTTCGACGGCTCAGATCACCCTCGGTATATCGAAAGAACCGAGGTTGGCGGCTACATCCGACGGTTGAACCCGAAAACCACGGCCCCGATGCGTCATGGGGCGAAACACACGAAATCGTGTTGTCTTTAGGAGGTCTAGTTTCCTAAGAGTTTAGCCAGTTTGTTAAATAAATCCCTATTCCTTAGGGATGTGCAGGTTGTTAACTAGCCACCACGTTATAGGCCATGTAAAACGTGGGTTCTGTTATTTTGCTTTGAATCTTTCATCTTGTAAGGCTTTAAAGCCAACTGTTTGCTCTGAATTCAATATACATTTCTCTCTGCAAAACCAGTTCTTAGTGCAATACTACTTTTGTGCTTAACAATTGGTATCAGAGCTCCATTACAGGGGCCTGATTGTGAGTGTGTGTGAGGAAAAACAGTGAGTGTGTGTTGAAAGAATACATCAAATTTATTTCAGAGTGAAGGAACAGAGAGGAATGGCAGAGAGCAGTAATGGTCGATTTGTGCAAGCTGCTATCCCCAAATTCGATGGTCACAAAGAAATCAAGTGCGCTTACTTCGCCGAAAATTTCTTCATTCAAAGTATTCCAGACCACACGCGAGCCGGTTTAGGTCTGAAAACTTTGAAGGGGGTCTTGTAGACGGTAAAAAAATACCTCTATAGGCTCACAGGAAATTCGCCTGCGAAAAGAGCTCGCACGCCCAGTTCTCTGGCACGGGCCTAAATCGCATGGACATTGCACATGCTCGATTCGCCTTACGGTCGGCTCGCCAGCACGAGTTAAGATCGATTAGGATGGCGGAAGTTCGCCTTTCACTCAACTCGCCTGCCCGAGTCCAGAGTCGAATCCGCCAGCAAACCCCAAGACCGTCAGTACAGCTGGGTATCCACTACCCCACGTGCTGAGATGGACCTTCCCATCTCTCTCGACCCGAAGGGAGAGAGAGCACGATACCCCAGGACCGTCAAACGGCCGCTCGCAGTACGCGCAGCACGAAAGCCTGGACAGGTGTCGAGTCAACCTGAGCATTCATAAATGCGACTCACCTCGGCTGTCTGAGCCAAGAGCTGGATCCGCCGGCACTCGGCAAGCTGGCTAGACCCACTCGAGTACTGTACACCTACTTCACCGCCTCTCCT